TATATATATCTGATTTGTCTCTCTGCCTCTGCTCATCAACCTTAAGAGAGGTTCCCCATCCACTCTCATATGCCAACACAATCTATTTATTACTTGTGAGGCCTCAGGAATTAAAGGGATGAGTAAGTCACAAAGCGAGACATGGAGGCCAATAATTCTGTTTGGATAGTTCATTCTTTAAGTGATGTGACTAGTATCTTGGAAGAAAACTTTGGAAGTGAAAGGGAGAGAATCCAAATTTTCTAAGTCCATTCAAGTTGCTACATACAGCATCAAGTACTAAATACATCTGACTGGTAGCCATGAAAAAAAAAAAAAGGCAGAAAATAAGGTCCAAGTGACTGAACGTGTATGATACACTGTGACTTCTAGAAACGTGGATGGATAAGGAAGATGGTCTACTCTGTTGACATTTTTCTTTTCCATTATCTCAAACATTCTGCAGTAGAAATTGCATACCTGCAATTACAATTACAACTAGCTGATCTGCCATTTCCCATGTCATAATTAATGTCATGTTTTAATAGAGTTATAATCATTCCATAATAATGCTTTTCATTCACCAGCTTCCCACAAAGTATAAAAGTACAGTGCACAAAAGCAATGAACTTTTATGAGGCTCTTTCAAAAACATCCCAAAAGGAACATCTCAGTGTATTACAATGAACTTTTAAAATATGTTTTCTATATTCTTATCTGAGCTGCAACAAAACACTATGCAAAAAAGACTTTTCACCCTGGCATTCCTCCTTCCCTAAACATCCATAGGTGAAAAATGAAATCAATGATTCAGTGACAAATACATTATGTTTCCTAAGGGGTTATTTAATGTACTCTTAGCAAGGATGGAAAATGATGGTTTCCAGAGAACAGATGGTAACAAGACAAAATATCAACAGACCACAGTTGTTGACTGCAATTTATGGAGTGTACAGATGTGTCAACTTAAATGCAGTGATTCTGAGGCCAATAAAAGTACTTCCTGATACCAACAGATTAATTTTTCATGACCACTGGTTACACAGCTACTACATTTTTAAAAACTAATTATTCATCTACAAAAGAAACAACAATTTTGTTTGAACGTCATTACTATAAAGAAGAATGTTGATCTTGCTGGCATAAAAAAAAAAAAAAGCCACACAAAAAAATGGAATGACAGGATTGAATACAAGTTTGTACATCTTCCTTTCAGAATAAAATTTCCTTCTTTTTTCCATAAAGAATATTCCAAAGCAAGATGAATGCTAGAAGCCAACCCAGATTTAAAGTAGTAACATGCAATAAGGAGATCGCACTTCCTAGCCAAATATAAAGCATGCTTGCAAAAGGGCCTTTTTTCAGTCTTTAATTTAGCAGGATGAATAATGGTGCCCGTGAAGGCTGCAAGTGACTGGCAGTGCCTGAAGCTGCAGTCCCCCGTTTATTATCCACTGCCACATTAACTATGCAGACAGTCTCTCCCATGCTGCTCTGTAAGACTAAAGATACATGACTGCCAAAGCCACGTATCTCAGAACCTTCATCAATGAATGGGTTGAGTTCTAGATCTGATCCTTGTAATCTGAACACATTTTCATTTTGTCTTATATTTCAACCTGGAGAAATATTTCACCACTGGTCCCCTCCCTGTATAGGCCTAATTCAAGTTTACCTAAGGATTGGTGCTTTGCTTGTCAAGAATAAGAAAGAAGAAAGCAGCTCTACTTTCCAAATTCTCTTGTTCTAACATAGAGATCAACTCTAAAACAAGCATGTTACATTAACAATACCACAAAATACCCGCCTAAATAGACAATGATAAGTCAGTTACAGAAAATACAATAAAAACCAGTTCTCCGCTGTATCAAACTGCAACAGTTTGTCATGGGCTAAGCTTTCAAAGGAGACCTCAACTCAGCTGCCACGTAGCCTCTGGGAAATAAACTGCAAAAGCATCTAGCCAGAGACTGAACCAACAGGAAAGCACTGCAGGTACTGCAGTACCCCGAAGAAGAGAGAGTCTGACTGAAGTCACACAGGGCCACCCATTCCCCCTGCCCAACTCAGCGTGTATACGTACAACGTACCCTTCTCCAGAAGCACGGTAAGGACTCACCGAAATCCCTCCCTTTCAACAGTGTGGCATACACAAAGCAGGGCAGAGGCAGAGACTGAAGAGGAGCTGCAGAAATCACTCACACCGAAACTGAAAAATGTGTTTTGATTGCATCTTCCTGGCTCCATACTGATCAACTGTTTACCCCACCTAGCCCACTCCATGATGTTTTAATCTCAGCTTCTCGAACCACCCTTCCAGCTTCCTTCTCCGTGTTAGTTGGTACTCATTACTAAACTCCTTTTTTGCTTCCCTAAGTATCGCTCTCTTTTCCCAAGTATAATATAAATATTATGTTTAAATTGTGGCAAACATTTACAATGTTATTCCCTTGATTTATGTTTTTATCCTTTTTATTGCTTATCTTTTCTATTTTGACCACAAGACATAGAGAGCAGGCTCTGCCACCACCTCCTCTGTTTTGTACTGTCCACAGAGCAATAAGGCTCCATTCCAGTTGCCGTACAAGCACAATCATAATAAACATTATTAATAGCAACAGTGTATTCTCTACATCAGCAACCTGGCATCACAGATTATGTACCTCCACAAAACACAGCAGTATGCACAAACTGAGAAGCTGACACCAATTTGGCTGATTCTTCTCCCTCATTGGTTTTATAGCTGTATAAACCCCACTTCAGCGGAGTTACTCCTGATTTAAAGTAGCGTAAGCAAGAGGAAAAAAGAGTCCTCTATTTCTGGCAGACAAATGAAAGAGCTCATAAAATGGAGCACACAAATTCAGAGGACACATATGAGATAGTACAGAACAAGCCCCCTCTTAAGCAAAGCTCAGTTTTGCACCCATGGTTTTTTCTTCTCCAGCTTCTTCAATCTGTGCAGAGAGTTCTGGAAAATGAAATCCTTTACTGAGCAAGCCACGGTGGCATGAGTCATGCTGTACTGTGTAGCAATCTTACTACTTGGTAAGCTATCTCAGACATAAATTACTTCGGGAGACTTAGAACCCAAAAGAGCAAGTTTCAATTCAAATGATCAAAACATCAATAGCACTGGCTTGAACTCAGTTATTACTTTACCACGCAGAACTAAAGGATAGTTGCACCTACCTGAATCATATGCAAAATCTCTAGGTTCCTGTTTAATCATCAGAGGAGGGGGGAAATTTTGACTGGCTGCATTGCCAACCATAGCGTTGTGTTCATAAACTGGATCGTGGTACTCCTGCTTAAAACCTTGAGGTGGGAAGGGGATGTTTGGCTCAGACATCTGGCGCTGATACACTGGACGTCCTTCCCTTGGCATTGCAGGCAAAGGTGGGAAAGAATTGCAAGGTTCAGAGAGCTGGCGGCGAAATCTAGGACACAAGTTAGAGAGGTCATGTAAAGGACTTGAGCTACATTCCACTTCCCAAGAATCTTCAGAGGTCATGATTAGTATTTGTATCACTTTTTCAGTAGAAAATGTTTTGCTTATGATCATACCAAGTTCTCCCATCAGGATCACTTGCATTGTAGAACAGCAACAAGCAAAGTAACAAAAATCCACCTATTAATACCAGCTCGAAGACCTGTCCCCACTACCATCCTCTTTGCTTTCAGGATCTTCTCTCAACAGAAGAGGCAAACAGCAAACGCACCAGCTTCAAACCAGCAGAAAGACTGACATCCTACCACAGTAACGTGAAGGAGGCTTAGGCAGAGTTCTCTGTTCTTTCACAAGTATTAGTGACACATTGCTTGTACTCTAATTTACTCTAACTGTTCTTACTGTTACATGGAAGCTATTCTGACCATAGCAAACACAAATATTTTGAAAAAAAGAGTATTGTCTGCTGTAACATCTGGAATCATTCCAGGGTAAAAGTCCTCAGTTCTGTCCTCGGGAATGGCACCAGGGGAGATCCACCTCCAAGGCTGGCACTGCATTCAGCTCTCATGGGAAGGGAATGTTAAGTAACCCAGAAAAAGAAGAAGGTGCAAATTTTTGTTAAAAGAAACAATGCCTAAGAATTCCCGTCCTGCCTTAACTTGTTCCCTTGGTCATTTCTACATCAAAGAAGTCACCCATACAAGCCACGTTGCCATTCACTACTCTCAAATACTCTTCAGTAGGCATAAAGTCTGAGAATTCAGTTTCAAATTTGCTTCATTTACATCCAGCGCTAGTCAAGAACCTATGCTGCTTGTTTCTTCCATAGAGCATATCTACTTGAACTAAGCAGCCTGAATGTAATTACTTGGACATCTGCAGGTTCGGAAGCATTAAAGAAGAATACAACCATGCTATTTTCTCACTGTGCCCCGATGAACTGCACAAAGTCTTCCTGTCACCTCCTGCAGATAACCACAGTAGTGGTAACCACCACTGTAGTAATGTTGTGTCTGCACTAATCTACAGCAGATGCAATGTTATTGCAACAAACTGCTTACTAGTCCTGTTATCACTCATCACGAATGAGACACACTTTAAAAACAAACAAACAAACCCCCCCCCCCCCCATGCCTTTCTCTGCAAGTTTCTCAACTGTCACGCTAAAAAAAAATTAAGAACTAATCATTCTTTGGCTTTCTCTACTTTGGATCTGAACGGACTTTGGTTCAAACAAGCAAAAAGCAGATGTTCACCTCGAGAAAACTGTCTGCCTGAAGAATGCAGGGGTTTGATTGCACAGGCAATACAATCCTTGACTATCAAGTCATGTGTAGTACATGTTTCTGAAACAATTTAAAATACACCAACTTCTGTCATAATACTGCTGTGAATTTGGTCTGACAAACACTTACTGTCATAGCTTAATTACAAATACTGTGTAGGCTACAGAGATAGAACCTATTGCAATGTAGTAGTGGAGACAAAATGAATTTTTTTAATGCTGCTGTAAATATCATATTTTGCAGTAGGAAGAGCACTGCACTGTAACCCTGGGTTTTGCAATTCCACCTACACCTGCAGAAAATAAACTTAGAAACTCAAATGTATCATGAAACAGTTAGGCTGACTGGCACTGCATTCATTTCCCTCTTTTCCTTTTTTCATTAGCCAAAAAAAGAAGTAGAAATTATCATTAAGAACTGTCAAGGAGTGAATCAGAAAATTGCAACTTGAAGTTAAAATAAGAAACAGGCTCACTCACAAAGCCTCAAAGGAAGTTAATAATACTTGTTGTGTACTGGAAGCTTTGTATGGAATTAAGCCATTTGTTTATACAAGTGGCTTTGATTCCTGTTGGTACTTGTTAGGACCACTTATCGTTCATATATTCCTGCCCTTTAGGAAGAAGTATGGGCTGTATGTTCTAGATACTAATGCTGTCTTATGGCACCAATGCATGTTCCAAAGAAATATGCCTTGAGTTATAGATTTACACATGAACTCACAAAGGCAGGTCACTTGTTTAAGTGACATTTTCTGAATACACTCATTGTAGTAGCATATCACCTTGTAAATTAGGAAGATTTGAATTTCACAAAAATATGAAGTACACATTTGTTTCAAACAACTGGAAATGAGAAGATTCAAATTAAATAAGAAAAGGGGGAAAAATATCTTCCACTACAATTGTACCTTTCTTTAAAAACCTGAGATTTTCCGGCCTGAGTCAGCTATTTTGGACTTCACTACAACACATGATGTTCTGTCACAGAAGGGAAGCATCAGTGCAAAATTCCCTCAACACCATGAGTATCAAAGGAGGGGGAGAATCATGCAAAGAGCCTACAAAGCTTGTGCAGACCAAGTGCTATAAGTATAGAAAAATATAACGTGTATGAAAATCTTTGTAAATACTCAAATTAGGGCTGACATACAGCTTCAGTACTCTCTTTGTAAGTTGCTCTAAAACAAAAGATTTTTTCATCTGAAAAATTTTATTGCTGCTCTCTGCCTAGAAGCCATTTAGCTTCTTGACAACTTGACTTCGGTGTACATACGAAAACACATGTCTTCATCCTGTAATCGAAGCCGCTGCTTGGCTTCACTGGGGGTCTGCATGGCTAGACCACAGTCCATGGAGGGAGAAAAGACAGTGACTATGGCAGCTGATGGGCCAATTCAGTGTTCCTTCACTGCCAGGAAGGCTTGTAGAAAACCTTGGGTGATATTTAAAACTATCTTAGCAGAACACAAAGCCACAATATAGAGCTTAGCAACCCCCTTCAGAAGTGATCTGCACAAATCCCTGGAGATAATAGCCCTTACTAGAGTAGAAGCATTCAAATCACACTCCAAACAACTGCCATTTTCTTTTCAGGTGCTTCTTAAATTTGTTAACGTTTAAGCACAAAATCATGCTTCTGAACATTTATATCTTTTTACATACATCTGAAATTTTACATGCTCCTAGAAACAACACAGCAGAAAAAAAAAAAAAAAAAAAAACAAAAAACAAAAAACAAAACCAAAACAGGTTCATGCAATAAAGGTTAGGATAAATAGAATTCCACAAACAAGTGTCTCGTCCCAAAAATCAGGAAAATCCACTGAGCATATCTGTTGCAAAACTGAGCTAAGAAAGACAGTCAGTTGTCTGGGGATTTCTAACATATCAAAACAAAACAGGGTGACTTAAGGACAGTTGAAGCTTTAATTCTAGTCTCTAGCTCTTGTGGCTTTTACTCAGACTAATGTTACTTAAGCACAGTTTATGTTGGCATCTTAGCTTATTTGAAATGCTATATTTCAAAAGGGGTTGGAAAAATGATCCACCCTTCCAAAGAATATTCTGAAGCAGTAACACCACAACATGGACACTTATCTCTTAGATAGGTGAACTGCTTAGCAAGAGGCCAGATATTTATAGCCAGGATCATGCCTGCTAGTGACTTCATTACCTCATACAGCTTAAGAGTGTGTCAAGTGAATCACGGAATAACAGAACAGCTCAGGTTGGAAGAGACCCTGAAAGACCATCTGGTCCAACTTTTCATGGGAAAGGGAGCCTAGATGAGATTATCCCAGCACCCTGTAATCACCCTCACAAGACGGAAGCAGCAGGTCATTAAAACTGTCTCACTGCCAACATGAACTCCCTCTGAAGTCCATCAAGTCAGGTGCCAGCCTTTCATAAAACGCACATATTTCTGACACTCTGAACCTTGCTGGCTTTCACCTTGATCCACCAAACCAAAAGGGAATAGTTGTGCGGAGGAGGCCAATGCTACCCTATATAAGAGACTTGCAACCACAGCTGAAATGCCTTCTGCATGGGTCCCTTGCATGTTTTGTGTTTTACCTGTGGTCCATAGGGAAGCCGTTGTCTTGAATGGACTGGGATGGAGGGAGATGGGTAGGGAAAACCCGGTCAGGTTTAGGAGTCTGAGCTGAGTTTGGGGAGGCATGGTGCAGTGGTGACACAGGAGTGCTGGATGGCGTCGGTGGGTTGGAGGGCCTCATTCCCACTTGTGGCTTCTGATCATAGGCACTATCATTAAGGAAAGGGGAAAGAAGGTCAGCTTTTTTCTCTGGAAAAAAAAAAAAAAAGTGGCATCTACATCCAGAAAAAAACCCGCAAGTGTCACATTTATAAGCTTTTTATTATAGTTATCTTATTAACCAGTTTGGGGCAGAGGAATTCTCTACTTTACATTGAGAAGAGCACAGAAAAAGTCATGCTAGAGGGAAGCGGTTCAACACAGCATTTTCTTCTCTGAGGCACAAAAATACATTTTTAAAGGATTCAGTCTTACAATGACATTCTAACAGGAGATACACAAAATACATAAAAGTAGAAGTACCTGGACTACAGCACAAAGAGCCGGCAGTGCCTGTCAAAACTTTTTTAGAGCTTGCACAAACCACAAAGTGAGACAGTAAAACAATACAGCTAGAGGGAAAGGATCTGACCCAGAAAAACAATGGTATGTTGGCTCGGCTACCCACACTAGGATGTCAGCAGCCTCTTCTCACAGGTTTTGTTTTCCCCCTCTCTCTCAAAAATAAAGTGCTGGTCCTGCAAACACACAGTTGCTATTTTCAAAGGTCTCCTAAATCAGGAAAGGACTCGAGTAGGCTTTGATCATCCCTCTTTCTAAACAGCAAAAATGCAGACATTAGGTAGATAGTAAGCACGAACTTGCGCACTTTCCTGTCAGGTCCCCTAGCACCCATCAAATCCATCAATGCATATATGTCTGATTTTTGAAATCAAAATCACTCCTCTATGACTGGCAAAGGTTCCAGGTTTGTTTGGGGTTTTTTTTTTTTTCCCCTTTCATATCCAAAAAGTCAAATGTAAATGCTTTTAAGTGCTAACAGTTTTGGTAGCACGTTAATGGGAATAAAAACTCACACGCTAGATGAAAGATTCTAAAATAGACTGAAACGTCAATAAGAAAGCCTTCACAGCTGACACTAAAGGAAGGAATGACACGTAAGCGCAAACCAAAAGAAAGTCAATAAAGAATGCAGTGGTAACAAGCCCCTCCACTGCCCACAAATGAATAAAGTTTTTATTATCTTTC